TCGTGTTACAATGAGGCAAGAAATCGAGATTGAGAAAGTTCAGTCCATATGAGTTTGGATTTGTCACAAACTTTGGTTTTGACAAATTCACATGGATAGGAACTTATACACCACAAAATCTAAGTGTCATAAGATTACCTCCTTCATGAAAATGACTGTGAGGAAATGCTTTCACTAAGAGAGATTTTAAGAAGATAGCAATTGTGGAAATTATATTCTCAAATTCGATTATGGTTACGGCATCCCTTTCCATAGTTCGAATTATGAGATTTGACAATTAGTCTGAACATTTGGGACTTAGTGACATAAGTTCTGAATTTGTCTAGACACACATATGAGCTTTCTAATGCAAAGGTGTATGATTTTAAGAAGCTTTGATAAAGGCTTATCAAAGCATTAGGTATTAGAAATATGAACTTAAGGAATTCAATAAGCATTGTTCTCTGGAAGTTTAATTGTTTTCTGAATACATGTCAAAGCTAGTGGGAGCATAAGTGTTATGCTGGTAAGAAAATAATCATCATGTTAGTGGGAGCATGATTATTATGGTAAAGTATTGCGAGTTAGCAATATTAATTATAGAAAACAAAGATTCACTTTGCAAAGTTGTAATGTTTGAAAAGTTGTTTTCGCTATAATTAAGGGAGAGAATATTATAATTCATTTCAAAATTCTAAAGCTTAGATCGAGAAATGTTAATAAATTTAGTCAAGGATATATAGTGCATTCTCAAATTCGATTATGATCACGGCATCCCTCTTCATAGATCGAATTGTGGGAACAGGACACATAAAATATTATGGCAGAAGGATGATAAAGTATCACTTCTTTATGTGAGACATTATGCATCATGTCCAATACGCTTCGGGTATAGGATCGATTGCATATGCTGTAATATTTTACCATTCTAAAATTTTCCAAATGCCTAGGGCATTAAGAGGGAAAAAGGAACTAGAATCGGTTTTGACTAAAATAATTAAACAACTATCAAAGGAAAATCTGAGGTTCACTGAGGATTTGTCGTTTGTGAGTAGTATAGTACTGAATGGGCTATATTGACATTATTATGAATAGATAAGATTCTATTAAGAATAAGCTGTCATATGGCAAATATGGAAATGTCTCCATATTGGGAGTTGGATGTTGAGAGTCTGTGTCTAGATTAGAAACTTTTATGCAAGAAGGATATTCAAAGGAATGTACTTTGAATGTGAGACTTCACGTCTGTGGAATTATCTTGTAACAATTTCCGATAGAGTACTTTGTAATTTCATTGTCCAAAGTCTTGGTGACTTTTGTGCTATGACTTTGCGAAAGGATCGTTGCATAAAATGTTAGAATCTAGCATATTCTAGTAGTTGCAAGAACCTTGTGTTCTAACACTAATAATAGGGATTGGGAATTGTGAAATGAGCATCATTGGAAAGGTTTTTCAATTGATTTATTTCACAAAGTATGGACCATAGGAAACCAAAGTATGCATGCTTGGAGCATGGGACAATTGTGGTTATAATTCAAGTAATAAGTTGATTTTCTGAAACTATAAGCAATGAATAATGAGTAATCAATATGGTGTTTAAACAAAAGTGTTTTTATTTACGCTCAAAAGCTTTGGGGCCATATAGGATTAATATTATTATTGCGTTTCACTTTGCATGTTTTGACTTCCCGAATAATAAGATTATTCAAACTCCACAGTCGCTCGTACTTTTGGAAGTAAGTAGTGAATCAAGACTGTCATGAACTGGATTGTAGATTGTCTAAGGATAGACATGGCAATAGATTTGCTGCAACGTTCATGAGTACTCAGAAATTGAGATTTGAGTATTGGATAAACCCACGCTCAGAGTATTACTTCATGGAATTCATCACGAGTAATACTGAGACGATAATATCTATGATCTTGAAACAGAGATATATGAGTTGTAATTTGCAAGTCGGCTATACATTGGTGATACGAAAACGCATCAGTAACTTGGTGTTATAAAACGTATTGTCATGTATGGTTTGATGAGTAAAAGATACAAGCATATGAGTCAATGTTTATTCGTTCCTTTTGCCCTAACCGGAAAAGCGATATCTGTGGGCCCCTCGATGATTTGGTGTTGACTTATGTGCTGGGCCCAGCCAGGACTAATTGATGTGTTCGATTAGAAGTCCTATATCATCACAAATCAGAAATCGGGAAACATAGATTCTGGACTAAGAGATTGATTGTATTCCATGTCTTATGTCTGGGGATATCTTGCAGAACGAAGGATTATATGATCACTTATCTTAGGACTCGTAACTGACTGGGTCAGAGTTCAGCAGCAGCTTTTTGGAAGCTACAATTTGCTGGTCAAATTTAGAAGGCATACTAGAAATTATAGTTACAGACTTATCCAAGTGGGAGACTGTTGGATTAGGTGTCTAAGCCCATAACTATAATTGGTATGTACTTGAATTGATAGCAGCACAGTCCTTTTGGGTTGCCCTCAAACCTAGCAACCGGACAAGGAAATTATGAAAGGAGAGATATTAATTTATTATAAGATTAATAAATTAATATAAATGAATTTATTAATATGTTAAAAGATTAATATATTAATAAGAAATCATTTTGTTTAATTGATTGTTAGCCAGAAATTAATTAGAATTAATTTTGGGGTTAAAAGAATTAATTATAAAGTGCAGGGACTAGTTTGCAATTATCTAATAGTTGAGTGGAAGGCTCCAGAACCTCCTTGGAAGGAGGTGGACGAAATCTATAGGGGAAACCCTAAGGATTTCGTCCAAGGGGGCTTGGATAAGGCCTTTGGCTTTGCTTAGGCCCTAAGCAAGGAGCATTAGGGTTTTTCCTAAACCCTAGATCCCTCAACTATATAAGGAGCCTCCCGGTTCACATTTTGGTCACTCTTTCTTTGGAAGAAACCCTTAGGGCCGAAAATTGCATACTCCCTCTCTCTCCTTCTACTTTCCTTCTTGCTAGTTTGGGTGTGATTCCATTAGAGGCATTACACTTGTGGTGCTAAGCTTCCAAGAAGATCAAGATCAAGATCAAGGGAATTATCAATTGTTTACTATAACAATTGAAAGGTATGTAATTACTAAACCCTAGGTTGTAAATTTCGATTATAGCCTCTCTCCTCTAGGGTTCTTGTTTTGCAATTCAAAGTTGTATGTTCAATAGATAAAACATAGATCCAAAGTAGGTTGCATGTGAACTTAGGAATTGTTTTTCTAGTTTATTTGTTTTACCTAAAACCCATCATATCCACACGTAAAGTTGGAAACTTTACGTGTGATTTGTGTCCTAGAAGTCCAGATCTATGAATGACATGGACTGAAATCGAGCAAATCGGTGTATTTGGTGGATGCATGGCGGCGACTCGGCGAGTCGTATAGGTGACTCGGCGAGTCTGGTCGCGAGTCACCGAATTGGTCCCTTTATGATGTATCGAGTTGAGCCGTGAGTCACAGGGGGTGACTCGGTGAGTTGGGAGTTGAACTCACCCATGTTAGGACTCGGCGAGTCAATGCCCTGACTCGGCGAGTCCAAGGCAATCTTCATAGATCAAGAACAGACTCGGCGAGTTGCTCATACAACTCGGCGAGTCTTAGCATATGTGTTCTTCGGATGAAGATGAACTCGACGAGTTGTTCATACAACTCGGCGAGTAGGATGAAGGAGTTGAATGTCAGTTTAGAAGATGAACTCGTCGAGTCATAGCCCAACTCGACGAGTAGAATCAGGGACCCAGGATAATTGTCTGGACAGGGACTCGGCGAGTGGAGATCCACTCGGCGAGTCGGTCAACTAAAAGTTGACTCCGAATTGACTTAGGGCTAGACCAAGGGTAAATGGTCTTTTTGACCCAAAGGACAGTTAGCAGTGTATGATTAAGTATATTATGGGAATTGCAGCCGGGGAGTTTCCGGAGCAGCAGCAGCAGTAGTAGGTGATCAATTCCCACACAGACCAGCAGCTATTTCGAGGTGAGTTTCCTTCCAGTAGTAACGGGTCTAAGGCACAAGGCCGGCCCGTATAGACGAGACGTTAGTATTAGAGTGTGGGCCGAGCCCGTATCTCTTAGTTGAGTTGATTATGATATATGCCAGTATGATAGAATTATTTACACTTGTTGTCTGTGCGATACTTGTATGATATGAGTTGGCGGTTGAGTGTGGGCGAGGCCCGTATCTCTCCTAGAGTGGAGTGTGGGCTAGGCCCGTATCTCCCAGATAGCGAAGTGTGGGTGGGGCCCGTATCTTCACGAGTGTGGGCGTGGCCCGTATCTCTCAGAAAGCAAAGTGTGGGCGGGGCCCGTATCTTCACGAGTGTGGGCGTGGCCCGTATCTCCTAATTGAATGTTGTTTGTTACATGCTTGCATGGTATGGGGTATTATGGGGGAACTCACTAAGCTTTGTTCTTACGGTTTCAGTTTTGGTTTCAGGTACCTCCTCAGCTAGGGGAAAGGAGCCGGCGCGGTAGCAGCATGTCACACACACTCTCCGGTTTCCGCATTTACGAGCTTTTCTGGGATTGATACTCTGATATTCTGATTAGTTGTATGTTTTGGTTTTCAGACATGGTTCAGTTTATATTATGGATGATCGAATGATGTTTTAGTTATTAATATTTTCTAAAGTAACGTTTTTAAACAAACTTTTTTTTGATGTGCAAATTGGGTCGTTACACACATGGAAACATGATGATACTAGGATCCAACTTGTCTTGCTAGGCCTTTTCACCATCGGCGAACTACCATTTAAATTCATTGAAAACGAGGCATTCATAGAATTTGTGAACGCCCTCAATGGTAGGGTGAAATTGCCTTCAAGGCATAAAATTTCTGGTGATGTTGTGTCATTCTATTTAATGGAGAGGCAGAAGTTGTACAAACATTTGAGCAACCCCAAAACAGCCATCCACTTGACAACCGACACGTGGACATCCTCGTGTCAAAAGATAAATTATATGGTTGTCACGGCCCACTTCATTACCGAAGATTTTGTCATGCACAAAAGGGTAGTCAACTTTAGAGAGGTTGATACTCACAAAGCTGAAGACATGGCCCGGGAGTTGCTAATTTGCATAAACGAGTGGAGGATGAAGAATGTCATGACGATGACCGTTGATAATGCTAAGACAAATGACGCGGCAATAAACATCATTGTGAAAGAACTACCGGGTATTTACGAGAATGGCAAACATTTTCACATTAGGTGTATGGCTCATATCATAAACCTAGTTGTGAAAATGGGGTTAAAACACGAAGTTTATCATGTAAAAAACCTACAAGATGCGGTGAAATTCATTAGAGCCTCCCCGCAACGGATCAAGACCTTTAAACAAGCCATGAAGGATGCGGCTGTAGAAAGTCAAAGGTTTTTGTGTGGTGAAACTCCAACAAGGTGGAACTCTACCTTTGAATTGCTAAGATCAGCGTACGATGTGAAAGACACATTTCTCGAATATAGCCATCAAGGTAAATAAAATCAATTAATCAAATATATTTCAGCACTAAAATTAGCAATATTTATTTCTTTAGCAATCAGTCTAAATATTAAATTGTGCATAACTAGTTCAATTTAACTTGTTTTGACCTGAATCTTTTTCCTACATGTAGATTAGGATTTGTAGTTGAGTTTAGACTATAAAAACACTTCATTTGGTTAAAAATTGAATGAGTTACAAGCCCCGCAAGGAAGGGTGTCAAATCTGATTTTTTTTTCTAACAGCAATAAAACGTGATGTGATTTTGTTGTTCAAATATGCATGACTCATTCAATTTAACTTGTTTTGACCTGAATCTTTTTCCTACATGTAGATTAGGATTTGTAGTTGAATTTAGACTATAAAAACGCTTGATTTGGTTAAAAATTGAATGAGTTACAAGCCCCGCAAGGAAGGGTGTCAAATCTGATTTTTTTTTCTAACAACAATAAAACGTAATCTGATTTTGTTGTTCTTTTTTTGTAGATCCAATGTTTCAGAAAACTGTGGGAAGGGTACCATCACATTCAAATTTTGAGATGATTAAAAAGATGATGGAGTTCCTTGAGAAATTTAAGGAGAAAACTAAAAAAGTTTCGTGTTCAACAAAACCTATCTTCCATACGTAGACCCGGGAGATCCTAGATATAGAGCAACATCTTAGGAAACATGAAACCAACCCGGATTTTATGTTTATGGTACCGGATATGAAAGATAAATATGACAAATATTGGGGTGACTATGATACTATAAGTGATTATATCTTCTTTGCGACATTATTAGATCCTCAATGCAAGTCAAAGTTTATGAAAGTTGTTTTTACCCAAATGCTTAAAGCCAAGAACAAAGATAAAAAGATGTCCGCTGATGAGATAGAATCCAAAGCATGTGCAAAGGTTATTGATATCGAATGCAAATTGGATAAGTTTTTCAAGACATACTTGGAAAGGTCAAACATGACCTCATCGTCTCAACAAGAAACTCCCGAAGAAGTTGTTAATTTTGATGACGAAAACGAATTCTTTGGAAGCTATATGACTTCAGGAAGTTTCCCCTCGACTTCGTCAGAAAGTCAATTGCAACGATACTTAAACGAGGAACCAATCGGATTTGACAAAGGATATGATATCCTCACATGGTGGAAAAATAATGCGGTGCGGTTCCCGATCGTTGCTCGAATGGCAAGAGGTATCGACCTTCTTTTACTCTAATTTAAACTTTTAAATTATAAATTTGTGTTGTGTATTATACACTAATTCATTTATTAATAGATATTTTGGGGATGCAAATTTCCACCGTAGCATCCGAATCCACATTCAGTAATGGTCGTCGAGTAATTACCGACTACCGTACTAATTTGTCCGTTGTGATTGTGGAGGCATTGATATGCACTCAAGATTGGCTAAGAAAGAGTAGCTTGCCTATATATGACTACGACGAAGTGCACAATGTGTTAGCTGATGATGACCTCGCTATCGGTAATACACTAATACTTGTTACATCTTATTTTTAACTTCTTATTAGTATTTGTTACATTTTAGTAAGTAATAACATTTTTCTTTTGTATTATATATAGACATTGTGGATGCTATACACAACTTGAAGCTAACGGGGAAGAGATCGGGGAATTAGTCAAAATGTCAAAGAAATGTTGGAATCCACTTATTAGACTTTGTTTTTTTTTTGTTGGTGAAACTTGGAAGTATATTTTGAATGTCGAAAGTGTATTTTGAATGTTGAATGTTTGAATGTTGGATACTTAATAACATAACTTTGACGACATCCATGTTTAATTTGCTTGTAATAATTTAAATAAAAGGTCCATGGTTAATTTGCTTGAATGTTGAATCGTTTATTAAAATGTTTATTATTAAAATGTTGATTATTTACTAGTATTTAAACATCCACTTCTTCATAAAAAACCAATAAAACGCAAAGTAAATTAGTCGTTGGAATTACTCGAAAAAACGGCAAAAATCAGACCCGAAAAACCAATCAAACGCAAAGTAATTTAGTCGTTGGATACATCAAAATTTAGCCGGTTCCAAACTCGAAAAACCGGCAAAAAGCGGACCCGGAACCGAAACCGGTAGAACCGCCGGGCCGGTTCGGTTCTTCATTTTGGCCGAAGCCGGTTCCCCGGTCCGGTTCGGTTCCGGCCGGTTCGGTTCTTTTGCTCATCCTTAATCTCTCTCATACACACTGGTTCCGGTGGGTACCTAACGGGTAGCGGTATCGTAAAAATAAGAACCAAAACCGAAACCGCTTAAGGCGGTTCCGACTCTGGAACTAGTGGTTTCGATGCAATTTTGGTTTTGAAAACGAGTACCCAGGTCCGCTGCTTATCCCTAGGTGTGGCAATCAACCACACTTTTATGGTAAAAGCTAATGTGGCGCTTACGTGATAGTGAAGAAAGTGCGGTTTTTGTGGTACCACTCCCCCAGCCTAATAATCCAGTTCAAGTAAACCATTCAAGGAACAACGACTTTGATATTTTTATAATTAAATTTTATAATGTAAATACCTTTTCTCTATTATATGTGACACTTCGTTTTTCTAAATGGGCACACCAAATCCCTCTATCAATCATGTTTTTTTGTGAAACCCTCACCTAAAGTATGGATACCACTTTGCAGAGACATTGAAACACATGTTAAAAATAGTGATTTTGTAACGCCCACAATTCTGGCTAAAAGCATTAATAAAGTTGTAATAGTCTAGGTCAACCTTTGTAACTCATTTTGAAGTAATAAAGAGGAATTATGTGAATATTATGTGAATTATATGCTTATTTGCTTAATTATTATGATTTAATTAATTAATAATAAAAATAAGCATTTAAAATAAATATTAGAAAAAAAGCCGATATCTTTTAAGAATGTTGTAGTGGCCGAAACAAGGATTCCGGAGATATAAAAAACGTTGAAATCCGAGTTATAACGAAGAAGTTATGATCTGTCGAAGTTTCGCGACAAAACCGGCACGACACCGGGAAGCGTAAAAAGTGAATATTGCGATAAAGTGCTTTTTAGCCTTAACAATCTAAACTAAAGTCGCAGTATTCGTTAAACCGAGAAGTTCGATAAAAAGAACGCCCAAATCTGACTTAGTATGAGGAAGTTATAATTTTTCTAAGTTTTAGCTTAGCAGTAGACAGCTAAATACTCGAATTTAAGGTCGAGCGAAATTTAGCCGACACAACCTAAACGAGAATCGAAGGTCTCGTCAATAGTAGTACAACGGTAAAAAGACTGACGAAAACGGACGTCGGATGAAGAAGTTATGAATTTTTAACGGATTATCCTGTCCCGGTCTGTTAAAAATAATAATATTAAAATTAAAGTCAAAATTAGCCGATGAAGTCTAAATGAAAGTTGTAGAGCACAATTTTAGCTACGCGTGCATATAAATAACGTCAAAAACGGAGCTCGTATGCGAATGTTATGGATTTTAGAAGTTCAGGGCTCAAAATTCGGAAATTTTCGCATGAACAGTAACCGGACACGTCATCGAGGCCGAAGCTGCTGCATCACCGAAGATGTGGCCGAATCTGGACCAGACGCATGTCACAATTCCCTCGGACCGAAGCCTCGGCCAATCAGAAGCCGCCTCGTGGCTGCCGCGTGTCCGAACCTTGCAGAGCCACGTCCGAGCCTCGTAGCCGCCTCCGTTTCTCTCCTCGCTGCTGCCACGCCCCTCGTTCCCTCTCAGCCACCTCCTCCCTTTGTGACCGAGCCTCGCAAGCAGCTACATGGAAGCTTCTCAGCCATGGAGACCTCGGCCTCGCACCCTATAAATAGGGGGGCTGCGAGATCTCCCGACTACTTTTGAAAACTTGACATTTTTCACCCCTAAACTTATATTTTGACTATTTTGACTTCCCTCGAAGCCCAGGTATCATTTTTAAAGCCCGGAATACGTCCCGAAGTGCCCGAAAACCCGGAAAATTTTATCTTTTCGGTTTTGAAGCTCCAACTCTCGTAGAGCCCGATTTCTCAATAAAACTCCCGGTTTTATCAGAAACGATCATTTTAAGGAATGAATTGCTGTCCGATTATCATCAAACCAAGTGAGTGTATAGTCACTTTCATTTTACACATAGATATGAAGTATTTTTTATAAAATACGTGTTATGTGTAATCATATTGATTGTTTATTTGAGATGATTGTTGAATACAATGTTTTATACAAGTTATAAACTGTATATGTATTTTATCTACAAATATGTTGGGTAGAACATGGGTAGACAAAATAGTTGATGTGTGTTAATATGATGTGAGGCCTCGATGTTGTTGTTGTTCCAGTCATCTAGCGGAGTATGGATGACGACCACAGACTTTTCTAGACAGTCCAGTGGAACGCTAGCAGGCTCGCAACCTGTAGGTGTTGTGAACGATGTGTTCACCGGTGTACTCCATCCCCCTCATGGTTGCCTTTAGGACATTTATTGTTGAGGAACCCCCTTAGCAGTAGTGTCCATCCCGATGATAAAATCCTTAGACTAGGTCCCTTGTATAGGTGTTTAGGGACGTAAAGTGAGAATAACGGGAATGGGTAATCAGAGTTATTGTTGATTGATGAAATTAATAAATTTATTGTTGATCGATGAAATTAATAAATTTATTATTATTTGTGGGTTGAAAACCCTATATGCTCACCAGGCTCCCAAGCCTGACCCACTCAGCTTACTGTTTTACAGGTAGTGGACTCAGAGCATAATTATGATCATGATGAGGGACGTTTGGATTATAGGCCATTAGTTGTAAATAACTGTTGTAAGGCTTATAATGTACCATTTATACTTATGTATTGTATCGAACATGACATCCCAAGTCTTTTAATGAAATACATTTATAAGGAAATGCTTTTGATAAATCTTTATCATATTATTGTTTTGGGACAAATTCCACAATTCTTTTATTAAAAGGTTACTCTGATTTTGAAATAAAATATAAACAAAACCAGTCTTTTCTGGCCGTGAAATTGGGGATGTCACAGATTCTCATGTGACGATAAAACTTAAGACAAGTCAAATTAAAATATTAATATTTATTTGGTTTATTATTTACAATTTCATAAATAATTAATTTACTCATCGGAAAATTGATTTTATTAAAATGAGAATCATTTTTTTCAATGAAAACTATCAATATCAAAATCTTATATATAATCATGTTATTACAATAAAATTTGATAGGGATAAAATTCATCCAAAATGAACTACTCTTCAAATTTGCTCACATGATATAGTGTGTATAGTTCTGTTACAACGTGATGTTGATTGAGATATTAATGATGGAATTGATTTGAACTTCTTAAGCAATAATAAAAATGATTATAGGTACAAAACTAAATAATTATGAATTTTTTTTTTAAAAAAAGAAATAAGATTTTCGTATGATATGTACATACAAAAACACAAGATTATAAAGATACAAACCTACTTGTTGCAATGATTAGGCTAATTGAATGAATGGGGTTGTGATGCTCTATGAGGTTTCTTAGGACTTGCATGGCTTACTATCGAGTTGAATAGCCAAATTCTTTAGGCTCGATTCCAAGTTGAGTGACCAACTTTTTTAAGCCAAACATTGGATTGTCAAGCATAATGGATAAATTTCATAGGATTTAAAAGAGCAAAAATTTGATGACAGAACAAAAACTAAAAGTATATGATCAAATCAAGATAACATCTTATATATTTTGCCAAGATTCTAACAAAAAAAATACATATTTTGCTTTGAGAGGGTCCTGTGAACGATTTTGCTTGCAAGATCTTAAAATCTTAACAAATCATTAGGTTATTATCCATTATGTTTTTTTTGGATAAAGACAAAGGGTAATATATATATATATATATATATATATATATATATATATATATATATATATATATATATATATATATATATATATATATATATATATATATATATATATTCAGTTGTTCACATTTTGTCACTGAGTTTTTTTGGTCCACATTTGACAATTTAACTTGTTTTTTTGTCCTCATTTAATCCTTATAACTGACTATTACAGGTTAATACGGAAAAATGATTTAATAGGGTAATATATTTTTCAGTTTGTACACATTTAGTATTTATGATTGATTTCTTCAAAATTTGCTCATGACATCATATATGGGACAATCATTAATGAAGTGTTCTCATACGTTGCTCGTCATTCATTTATATCAGTAACCAAATTCATGAATCGGTTAAATAATGTTGTTACGCTAAATTTCTCTAAAGAGAAGTTGCCTTCGTCTTCGGTTTCATCTGTCTCCATAACAAACAACAAGAATTTTTTTTTTGATTGTTTCCTTCTAACTTGAATTTGCACTTTCAAGACAAAAGAATTAAGTAAGATGCTAAAATAATTTGCACTTCCAAGACAAAAAAACATCCTGACAAAAAGTTTCATCTATCTCTATAGTAGACAACAAAATTCTTTAAGATTGTTTCATCCTAACTCGAATTTTCACTTCCAAGACTAATAATCTCGTTGTCTGCTATGAAGATAAATGAAACCAAAGACGAAGACATCTTTTGCTTGGAGAAAACTAGGGCACCAACATTATTTGACCGAATTATAAATTAGGTTACTGATATAAATGAAGGACGGACCATGTATGAGAGCACCTCATTAATAATTGTCTCACATATGATGTCGTGAGTAAAATCTGAAGAAACCGACCATAAGGACTAAATATGTACAAAAACATTAAAGATTAAATATGTACAAAATGAAAAAATATATTACACCATTAAGTTATTTTTCCGGTTTAACTTGGAGTAGTCATTTATGATGATTGAATATGA